AACTGAAGCGATGCATTCTGGGTACATGACAGATTTGATTTGTGACGGGAAACGAAAGCACGGAGTACAGGAAACTATCTGCGAACTTCAAAATAAGAGTTTGGATTTTAAAGTTTTCCATGTAGTTGCTCCAATTGACCACTAGATGTCAGTCTTCATCAGCATAACATCTTTAAATCATTTCTGTGTCTAAACCCGTTGCTTCGACCAATTACGTCAAGTATTGAGCTCCAGTGTTTAAACTTTATTTTTTTAAAAAGGAGCTCCGATTGTAAAGTAAAATAAATCAATATATACAAAATTTTAGTATGCATTACAAACATTAACTGTTTTTGCTATAGCCTTCCTGCTACGTAAGCAGACACAAAGCATTGTGGGAAATGAAAACCGTGACCCAAAGCAACAGTCAGCAAGGATGTATACYTTCACAATAAGTGTGTTTATCTGGGAGCGTTTTGTTGGATAGATTGTGTGTGTTGTGATTCATTGACAGTCATACTGTTGCCATGTGCTTGATGCCATGTGTTGCCTGTAGCCAGGCTGTTCAAGATAATGATGACTGGTAGATAATTAGTTATTGGCCGTACTGCATTTTAATTTTAGAAAGTGCAAATCTGCTTATGAACTATAAAAATTAGTAAGACCGCTAAAGCACAAATAAAATATTTAGGCCCGCACTTAGTGGATTTGCACTTTAGCGGGCTGGTGCCCACCACTACAAATAAAGCACTATAATTGTGTACAAAAACACAAAGCACATCATTATTTATAAAAGATATATAAAACTCGCAGCAAATTCACCCCAAAGGGCAGACTCTACGGGCTTAAAGTAAAATAACTCCTAGTTGTCGAGCTGAAAGCTTTTTTTTTTAACCACCAAACCATGTGTTTTTAACCACTCAACGTGTCGAGATGAAATTGGACTTTTCACTCAGCAGTTCTTTCATAAATCAGCCTGTTTGCAGCCTGGCAGCTACATTAGCCTTGTCGCTCCTTAACCTCAACATAAACCGTTAAAGTCTCCACAGCCAGACGTCTCTTAACGAGCAGGTTCTGATCCTTACACCTGATGTTAGAGTCGGGTTTTCATTTCAGACGAGCTGAAAAGAGCTTTGGTTCCTGTGTTTCAGAGATTACACTGAAAAGCTGGAGATCAAAGGCTTGATCCAGGAGCAGCTCAACTCTTTGTCAAAGTAAGTTGTTCAAGTTATACACACTGACTGCRTTTCCATTGACCATGAAAATGTGCAAATTAGAATTTCAAAAATAAATTTGCTCAATTGAAACATGTCAATTTTGAAAAAACTCCCATTTTTTGACAAAATGTTTTTGCGCTAGGATGAGGTGGTTTTTCAGTCGTATCGAAATTGGTGTTTTTCGCAAAACTGCAATGG